TTGCAGTCTACAGTCAAGATGCGTACTCGCTCGCAGCCACTCTCGCCTGGCGGTCTCGTTGCTCTCGAATCCGAACCTCGTCGGACGAGATCTACTAGAACTGCAAGTCTCAGACAGGGTAGTGCCGAACCTGCATCACAACCAACCACTCGATCGACGAGAAGCGCGAGCCTTAGACAGCCCAGTGCTGAGCCTGCAACACAATCTACTACTCGGTCTACCAGGAGTGCGAGCCTTAGACAGCCCAGTGCTGAGCCTGCAACAGAGCCTAGTACTCGATCCACCAGAAGGGCACGCACCAGACAGTCTAGCGCTGAACCTTCTACACAGAGCACCTCCAGCTCCCGTAGTCGACGCGCCGGCAATGGCGTAATAACGTCTATAGAGGAAGCCCCGACGACTCAGACTCGAGCCCGGAAGACCTCGACTCGTCGGTCGACGCGACAGTCTACTCGGAAAACGTCTGATGACGAAACAGAACCGATCGATACCGAACAAGTGTCCCAGCCTGAATCCATCGTCGATGAAACGAGCGCCGCACAGGAACCCCCGGAACCGGAGGAGCCCATCCCTTCAGTTGGTGAACATGCTTTGTCTGAGCCTAAAGCATCGGACAGTGAGTTGTTCTGTCCTTTCCCTGAACCAGTTACTACACCTGAACCTTACCTTGAGCCCTGGCCCTCCTCACCATCTCTCACCCCCTCACCCTCTCCCCCTCCCCAACATGTTCCATCCTCGCCGCTGGGCCCGGACCCGGATTTCCCGCATAGGAGCCGAGCCGTGGCACCCTCTCCCCCTTCCCAACATGTTCCATCCTCGCGTCTGGACCCGGACCCGGATTTCCCGCATAGGAACCGAGCCGTGGCACCCTCTCCCGAGGCCCAATCTCCGCAGGGAGTGGAATCGTCGAAGCAAAGTTTCGTCGAAGATGTTTCCCCTGCTCCTGCAGATACGTGGATGTATGATCCGCTCGAGGACATAAGCGACATTGGGTCGCCCCTTTCGGAACGGTCTCACACACCGGACCTCGAGATGGAGGATCTCTTTCTCGGGTTCGAGCTCGACGAGTCTCTCCTGGCAGACATTGGTGCCTGCCTCGGCCGCCACAACCAAGTGGAGTTGGCTGCAGCGCACAATGCTGCCGGAGATGACTTGGACAGCATCATGGCCGACGAATGTGGATCCGATGCAAACGTCGTCTTGTTGTCCTCTGAGGAGTACAACACCCAGCCACCGGCCGTGACGGAGGCCTCAACTGTGTCAACGACCGCTGAGCGGTTGGTCCTCGTGGCCATGGAAGGGATAGAGTTCGGGGAAGAGCGAGACTGCCGTTCGCCGATGTCGGTCTGCGGTCAGTCCTCTTGGGAAACCGACTCTATCTCCATGGTCATGGAGGATCACACCGCCACAATCGACGTGTCGTGGATCTCCTCAGGTGAATCTTCTCGCGAAGGTTCCCTGTCTCCTCTGTCCCCTGTCGATCGCGACGAGGAGGTCCCGATTCCGTCAATTGTTGCGGCTGTGTCGTCGTCAATTGACAACGAGGTTGCTGCCCTGATCCAGAGTTTCTCTGGATTGTGCTTGGCGGATACAGCCTACGACGACACGCCGGCAGCATCCGCGACTCCGTTGCTGTGCTATATGCCGGCATCAACGGGTCAAGTCCAGCAGGACGCGACCTTCGATGTCTCGACTGAGTCGGGTACGACGTCCACCTTAAATGATGGGCGGTTGGTGTCGGCGAAGGTGTCCGAATTGATCCCGGGCCCTTCGCAATCCCGTCCGGCGGCCGCGGAAGTTGACAAGCCACGTCAAGTTAGACGTTCCGCGACAGAGCAATCCGCGCGATGGGCGCGTGTGGCTCTCTCTCCGATTCCAGAGGAGTCGGAGGTGATGAGCCCCCGCTCAGGCTTGGGTGTTGGTGCCAACAAAGAGAGCGTCGACTCCCCATCGACGTCTCTCTCGGCTGCTCCCCACCTGTTGGAGTTGGGTTCTCGGGGAGTCCAGGCGGAAGCCCAAGAGCCCGCCAAGGAGGAAACGAGGCTAACCCCTCGCAAAGTGAACAGAAAACGTCCCCGTGACGACGGGGCCGAAACCCCGTCGTCAAACAAGCGGCGGAACGTGGGCCCCCCCGGAAGCACCCCCTTTGCGCGCCGCATGACTCCGCTGTCCCGGCGGATCACATACAACGCCGCCCCCTACTCCGAGCGGCTTCGGCGGCGGACGATCGAGAGCCAAGGCCGGATCCACAAGACGGTCTTCCGCCTCCCCCAGCTGCTCGCCCAGAACGAAGCCGACCGCCGGGCAGCGGAATCAACCCCCCTCAACCCGTGTCCGGAGCCTGTCCAGACGAACACCGAATCTGCCGAGGAGCAGAGTAAGCCAGACGATCAGGATCCGTCAGATGGGCCTGCCACTGCCCAGCCTCCTTCTACCCCTCAGGCAAGAGGTTGGAACATTCGCGGACTGATCAACTCTGTGCCTCGTTCTTTCTCCCGTTTGCTTCCAAGATTTGGTCGGTCCTCTCAGACGTCTGAAGCTCCAGGTACGTTTTCTCACCCTATTGTTTTTCACTCTTTTGTTGGTGATTCTGTGCGCCTGGCTCACCAGACGCAGCACCATCGCCAACCCCACAATTGCCTTCAGAGCCGTCTTCGCAACCATTGTCGCAGGAGCCTTCAGTGTCATCCTCGCACCCGTTGCCAGAGCGTACTTCTCGCACCAAGGTACGCGACTCGAATCAGAATGCTACTCAGAGTGATAGACGCTCTCGCCGTCGCTTGAGTGAACAGCCGCCCAGCAAACGCAAGCGCACCTTGTCCTACTCTCTCTTCCCGGCCCCGATTGACCGTGCTCGCTTCCTTGGAGATCTGATTACTCCTAAGAAAACCTCCCAGGCCGTCCAGCCAGAATCACGTCCCGAAGAAGCAGAGAAGCCATCTGGGGCACAGGACCAACCTTCATCGACTTCTCAGGTGACAGATGTCAGCCAACAGCGGGTCTCGCGTCAGACGACTGAGGATTCTACTCAAAAGAAGCGCAAGCGGTCACCATCGCCCGATGTCATTCCGAATCCGGCCGGATGCAGCTATGGATTGGACCTGGATTATTTCTGCTATAGCTCTGACAGCGAAGAGGAAGCCGATGTCCAACCCCAGCAGGCTGTGCCTCCTACAAAACCTGATACTTTAGTCAAATCTGCCGTTCGCAGTGCTATGCGGTCTGAACATGCGCCATCGAAAAGGGTGCGTTTCGATGCCAGCCCCGAGGATACCCCTTCTAAACTTCGCACGCGTCCTCGTGCCACGGACCCCTATCTGGGAAGACACTTTGTCGGCATGGGTGATGCTGCTCGAGTGACGGCGCCTGGTTCCCCTGCCGCTGCGCCCGCGACGCCAACTCCCGCTGCTCGCGTCGATTTGTCTACTCCTCAGCAGTCTCCGGGTTTCATTCCCAACAAACAAGGCACTTTTCAGCTCGATTACGATGCTTTCTCTGATGATACAGACTCCAGCGGCGCGCCTTCTCCCAACCCCCCCGCGGCCACGCCTGTCTCTGAGACTCAAATTACCTCTACACGTACAGAAGTACAAGAAAGGTATTTTGCTGACCCGTTCCACTCAAGCCTCAGTGTCATTCATCTAACAATTGATCTTTGCGGTGTAGTGTACAATCGCCTGCTCCACGTCCTACTCCACGCCAAGCGTTGCCTCCATCTACCCCAGCCAAAGTTGATCAGGAAGCTCTCGCCAGAGTTCGTTCTCAGGCCGAAAAGTATAAGCCCAAAACACCTAGTGGGCTCCGCACTGCTAGTCGTTACTCAAGTCCTCTGACCGCTTCGCCTGTTGTCAATCAACAACCACCTGTTGAGACTTTCGGCGATGATGATCAATTCGCTCGTGATGCTCAGTGGCTCTTTGAGCACTGCTCATCTGGAGATCTTCACCAGCTTCAATGGCCAGAATCGAATAATGTTCACATGAGCTTGGGTGTTGATGATGAGATTGTGGGGATCATCGCCAGTGTGGGGGACGCATCTGCTGTGGATGAACACCCTGCTTTCCATCAGAGTTTGGAGGAATTTACAAAAACTCTGGCATAGGCTGGAGTCATGTCATCAGGGTGTTGAAAGGTTCTAAATGGTCTTGTTTTGTGTTGATACCTCTTTGGTTTGTGTGATTATTATGTTGCCGTGTTTTATGGTTTTTTCCATTTTCCGATTACTGAGCATTGCCTGTTTGGCCTCCTTCCTACTTTACGGAATTGTGATGGGCCCAGACAATGTTTCAAGGTGTTTTCTGCGGGACTTTGGAATTCGTTTGTGTTTTGTTTCATTTTCTGAGCAACGCCTTCAGCGGCCTCCTCCAGCCTGTTGAGACTGGAGTTTGTAGGCCCTGCTCGGATGAACGTCTTCCATGAAATGTATGAAATCGAATCTGTCTTGTTCTCTTGGTTCAACCGCTGGAGTCCAGTGCATCATTGTTTTTTCTTCTCGAAGCATGTGGCATGAGCAGGAGATCTTGATTTACTTTTGCAGCTAGTGGCGCTTTCGAGCTTGGCCTTCGCATTGAACCTGGGAATGGAAACAGTGTTCGCATCTCTCCAATTTGCATCCGATTGACTGATTCAATCTGCCTTTGTGATGACACCTGCATGAGTTTGATTCAGAAATCTTCATAATCCACTAGGCATGTTCAGTTCCTTTGTCTACGAACAAGGACCATGTCAATTGTCGCGACCCTCAACCCTTGAGAAGCAATCATTCTTTTGCCAAAGCCATACTCGGCCCTTTATCACTAGACAAAGAAAACATTGCATCAACAAGACAATGGATGCATGCCGCCATCCGATTCAGTATATATGCTTTTCTATCCCTCTCATCTTCCCTCTAATCAGCTTCTGCCATTCATCATCAGTAGTTCGCCAGAGACACATCAAACCCATTAACCACACCATCATCGTGAAACCAGCTCCATTTACAAACCATCAACGCATAGACGATGTGCTACTACATGCCAAATAAACCCCCTTGCACCTGCACCTACCTCCAGCTGATCCAGCCCTGCCCACAAGTCCGCGTCTTCGCTGTACCGGGAAGCCCCACGCCCCTGATCCAAGTCTGTCCCATCCGATACATCGCCCGCGGCGTTGGACAGCGCTTCTGTGAGCTGTGTAGTCGGGCCGCGGGTTTTGGACCCGGCACGTCGGATGCGGTTGGGCTGGTGGGATATCCAGAACAGGGATTTGAAGGCTCGCAGCTGCCATCTCACCAATCGCAGCAGCAGGTGACGCCGCTTGATCCGAGTCTTGTTAGGGGAGGGATTTCGATCGGGGATTTGTTGATTCCGACGGGGGAGGAGAGTTTGGGTTCGTCGGAGATTGCTGGGGATGCGGAGAGAAGGGCCGAGACGGGGCCGAGCGTGCAGGGCTCTAATTCTTCACCGTCGTCGATACAGTCGTTGCTGGTGCGGGTTTCGTCGGGAGGAGGCTTGGTTGCGGATGCGCATGGTGCGGCGGTGCCGGGGTGTGCGCAGGTTGATGAAGTGCGAACGGTTCAGGCTGCGCCCGCGGAGGAAGAAGGATCAAACGGGGGGAACGAGGGGGTGGGAGTTGATCGAAAGGAGGATGAGGCAGAAGGTCATACCAAAGAGGTTGAAGGGTCTGATCCCGAAGGAAGGGCTTCTGTTCAGGGGATGCAGATAGTCCTTGACCTGGACGGTAAGTAGTTGGGAGGGGGTGAGTTAATTGGCCATGGGCCAGCTGAAATGGAGTCACAGGGCCAGAAAACATTTCTGCAGAAGGCTGAGAAGGCGTTCAAAAGGTTGTTTTGTATGTACACGGGAATAGAAGGCTGGCCTCCCTCCCTGTCTAGGAAGAGCTCTAGGTATACACATTCAGGTATCAAGACAATCCAAAGCAACAGATATAGTGTATATATGCGAGGTATCTCAATCAAAGCCCTGGAATTCTTCGTCGCCATCACCATCAGCCTTCGCGCCTGCGGCTTTGGCTGCTGCCCGTCTTAGTCGTCTTTCTTCCTCGTTCTTCTTCCTCAGCGCCTCTACCATCTCCTCCGTCTCACGAGCCTTCTGTTTTTCTTCTTCCGTCATCTTCTCCCATCTGGTCTTATCTTGCTTCAATCTCTTCTGCTCACGTCGCTTGAGCTTCTTGTTCTTTGACTCGGCATGTTGGCTCCATGCGACACTTTCGCTGGCTCGTCTCTTATTTGACGTGGATTGAGGGGCACCAGACTCGGCGGCCTCCTGGAGAAGCTCCTTCCGTCGTTTTTCCCTTTGCTTGTCTTTGTAGGCATAATTGTCCCAGTCAAGGCTCACGCCGAGTGTCCTGTCACCGGTGAAGTTCCTCAGCTCAGGCATCTTGGGCAATTTCAGCAAACCCCATGCTTTGCCTAAAGCTTCCCAATCGAGGTCGGCGACACGGAAGATACTGCTTGCCTGGTGTTTGCTGTAGCTTCTGAGCCAACTGACAAACGCCTTCTGGCCTCGGTCATACAGCGCACGATCAGATAACACAGCCTTGCGGGCAGTGGCCGTGGCAGTGGCCGCATCAGCTTCGGAGAAAGTAATCGATGGAGAGAATGGAACAACAGGTGTTTTTCGAACTTCTAGAAAAGAAACATAATCTTCTTCTCGTCCTGGGTGCAAAAGTACTACACTCAGACCCCTCCGGCCGGCTCTTCCAGCACGGCCGCATCGATGAATGAAGGACTTCGGGTCTGATGGAGGGTCGATTTGAACGACAAGATCGACAGACGGGATATCCAATCCACGCGAAGCAACATCGGTGGTGAGAAGAATGGCCGGGTCGTGCGAGTTGATGAAGCGGTTAAAGTTCTTTTGGCGGACATTTGCCTGGTGTTTGCCGTGCAGTGGAATCAACAAGAAATCGTCACCGAGTAGCAGTGGAAGGATAGCGGACAAATAATCGACACCCGAACAAGTAGAGACGAAGAAAATCGTTTTCAAGGGAGTGGGTTGAACCGAAGAAAGGATATGCTTCAAGGCGGCGAATTTGTGCAAGGGGGGTGTCGTAAGATAGGTCATTTGCAGACTGGCACAATCGAGTTAGATTTCTATCCAAGAATAAAGTAGAGAGTTACCAACCTAGCCGGAGTCCGCTTATCGTCAACGCCTGCGGTTCCTTTGACCTTGACCATGACCTTGACTGGATTTCGCAAACCAACTCGGACAATCTGGTCAACGGCCTCGCTGACACTGGCGCTGAACAAACCCGTTCGTCTTTGTTTAGGAAGCCGGCGCAGGATGTTCTGCAAAGTCTCCTTGAATCCCAGGTCTAGCAATCGATCGGCCTCGTCAAGAACCAGCATCTCAAACGAGGATTGAGGACAGTGGACGTGAGGGGAAGAGAGCAATTCCAGAAGCCGTCCAGGTGTGGAGACCAACACATTCGGGGACCGCTTCAGGAAAGTACTCAGATCTTCTGCAGGAGTGGTCGAACCGCCGAGGAGGAGCTGCGGAACGACTTTGAGAGTAGATGAGGAGAACTTAGGTCGAGGCGCATCGTCGTCTTCTGAGGGGTTGATCGCAGCGGCTGAAGGAGGATGGAAGGCGAGTAATGATGATAATACATTGTAAATCTGTGATGCAAGTTCTCTGATCACAGAGTCAGCATCGAGCTTCTTCCACGGTTCTGGATGCCGCGCGCCCTAAGGTCAATCAATGCCTACCTTGTTGGTGAGATGATGATGGCTCCAATATGATGTTTCTTGATGGGTTCTTCGAGACGCAAAAGCTTCTCTACCACCGGGATCAGGAAAGACAACGTCTTTCCACTGCCAGTGACTGCCTCTACTACGACATCCTTATGCGCCATGAACAGAGGAATAGCGGATGCTTGCACTGGGGTCATTCGTGTGAAGCCCATTGAGGACATTGCCTTTAACACCCATTCTGACAGGGCTGGTGTCACTGCATCCCAGGCTCTAGATGAAGTGCCTGAAGGCGGTTTTGGAGCCATAACAGCAGCCGAGTGCAGAATCGAACCTTCAATTCGACCGACGATCAGCAACGATTGCCCAGACTGATGCCAGAAAAAAATGGCTTATCAAACGATTGCCGATTAGATATTGAAGGCGGTGGGCCTTTTCTGCCAATTTACACGTGATCGCCCACGGATTCGGCGGAATCACAAGCCTGCCAGAGAGAAAAGAAAAACGAACAAAAAGCAACGACGAACAAAAAAAATACTCGATTAAGAGATCGGATTTGCAATCGCTATCAAGTACCTATCGATTCTTCCCTCATTTCTCAGATATTTATTAGTCTCTGTCGTCTTTTTGCTGGTCCAGTGACCATGTCGATCTCTCTCTAAATTAACATGCGCAGCCGCATTTCTGCCTGAGTCTTTGCCGACGTCTCACGCGATAAACCAGCTTTCCTTTCCACACACACCTCATTCATCATCCAGTTGCCCATAATTGCGTCGCTTGCAGCCGACAGATTTCTTTTTCCTGGCGCTCTTGTCTACGACTATAACCATCTGCGCCAGCGACCTTTGTCCGGGCTGATACAGGCTCCGGCCCTTCCGCCTTTCGCTCTAAGAGCGGTCGAAATGCCCTCCTCCTCTACCGACGACGTCCCGGCGACTCCCCGAGTCATATCTCCTTCGCCTGTACCATCGAGTAGGTCAAGCTCACGAGATTATTATGCCGGTCCGACGACTCGGTCGGCAGCGCGACGCCAACGTCTGGTAGATGTATCCGAGGAGAGAAGCGAAGACGTGGATACGGACTCGAGTCGGTCGCCGACCAGGTCTCGCAGCCCAGCTGCTCCTGCTCGTTCAACTCGCAAGCGGCGATCCAATCCCATGATACCAGCCAGGAAGCCGGAGCCTTTGAAAACCAACGGCCACGTATCGCCCACCGACTTCCTTTCACCTAATTCCGCCAAGGGCAAAGGCCGTTGGCACGACATCTCTCGTTCACCATCACCTCTGGGCTTGATCCCACTCCACACTCGTTACCGCAGCTTCATTCATCGTCACGAAATACCGCGCAAGCTTCTTCATGTCTCCATCGGCTTTCTCACCCTTCATCTGTACAGCCGAGGCGTCCAGACTCTCCAAATCACCCCATGGCTGTTTTCCGCGCTCGTCCCCATCGCCGCGACAGACATTATCCGCCATCGCTCCGAGACCGTCAATAAACTCTACATTCGCTGCGTTGGCGCCCTCATGCGGGAAACGGAAGTGTCGGGCTACAACGGCGTGATCTGGTACCTGCTGGGCGCATACACTGTTCTCCGTTTCTTCCCCAAGGACGTTGCAGTCATGGGCGTCCTGCTCCTCAGCTGGTGCGACACCGCAGCCTCCACCTTCGGCCGTCTCTATGGCCGTCGCACGTTCCAACTGCGCAAGGGCAAGAGCTTTGCTGGAACCCTGGCAGCCTGGGCCGTCGGCGTTGTCACCGCCGCTGCCTTCTGGGGCTGGTTCGTGCCCCACGTGGGACCCTTTCCCAACGATCCCGAGGGCTCGTTCATGTTCACCGGCCGTCTGAACCTACTCCCAGATTCTATCAAGGGTCTCCTTGGTTGGACCGCCGATTCCTCGCGCGGGGTCATCTCCGGCCCGCTGGCACTGGGTGTCATGAGTGTTGTTTCCGGCATTGTCGCCGCCGGAAGCGAGTTCGTGGACTTGTTCAGCTGGGACGATAACTTCACTATCCCGGTTCTTAGTGGAATTGGGCTGTGGGGTTTCCTGAAAGTTTTCGGTTAGCTTGCTCGCCCTTTCTATTCGACCTGGATGAACATACACCTCTTTCCTAGGAATGCCGAGGTCACGATTGTCACTTTTCCTCCAATGCACCGATTCACCGTTCTCTTGTAGCTCATCTTTATACCACTCAATACACCGGTCCGTTACTTTTCCCTGACAAGTATATAAGATATAGACACTCTGGATTCCCTATAGACTGGATGGTCATATCAATGGAACACCCGCAATTATTGTTTCGAAATCTCCGTCGATGGGCGCTTCTGCTCTTGCTTGAAGATACTCTCCAATCTTATCATGATTTCTTTCATCATCCCAAATACTGCGACGGGTGTTGTGTACCTATAATCAAGGGACATGTGCTCAAATTCCAGAGGCAAATGAGAAAAACCAACACCCAAATGGATCGAAAATAAGACTCCAATATCCTTGGTATCCCCAGGGACGCCTGAACACCACAGTTTGTTTGCCCAATAAGTCAACTTAGAAGTAAGCAAAAATCAGCGCAAGTCCAAAATGCTCACACGCGGGATGCGCTTCTTTCTCTTTTCGTCACAGTTGAACGAGTCATGCTCGGTCTCCTCTGAAGCCAGCTCAGATTCGGACTTCGTCTCAGTCATCCAGAACCCATCGCACACAATGACGGATTCCATATGTGAGGAACTCTCGCGAGACCTTTGCACCTTGCTGCTTGAGTCGACTCGCTTTTCCTTCTTCACTGTCGGCTGGAGCACATCATCCGCGCACGGTTCCATTACTAATGTCTTTTGGGCAGTTGGCGGCAAGTGTACACTGGGGGCCTTCACACATGAATGGTTCGTGGTCGGAGAAACGCTCTCCTTCGCTCGAGAAGCGCGCGCTGTCTGAGCTTCAACGGTGAGAGCATGAACTTCGTGCGTTTTCAGCGCTTTCAGAGATCGAGCTTTGAGGCCAGTTGGTGTTTGGGCCAGACTTTTCAAATGTTTATGAGGGCTTCCATCACTGAGGGTAATCGCAGACATGACGTCCTCCAATTCCTGAATTTCCACCCCACTTCGAGGCTTAGGTGACGTCTTGATGGACTTCAGTTGCGTTTGCTGACGACTTTCGCTTCCAGGCGACGGCGAAGATATAGCAGAGTTTGCGTCTAAGGATAGATCTGAACCGGTACAGTCATCGTAACTGACATTGGAGTAACTTATCTTGATTCTAGCGGAAGACACACGCGACGGAGAGGAATTGAAAACAGGTTCAGGACTTAGGAAGTCAAGCGTCTGCACCTCAACATCGCCAGAGCGGACACCTACCCGCCGGCTTTCCATGCGGGATCGCGTAGCCATCGGATGTCGCTTGATGTCTGACCTAGAGGATATGGTGCACGAAGAAGTAAATGAATCAACCAGATCATCAACAGTCTGATATATGTGTGGCTGAAGATCCAACAAGCGCTGACGACTGTATGGGCCATAGACCGGGGACCCCCTCATTAAGGCGTCGGGGGAGCTCTCAGCACGCTGAAACCCTGGCGCTCTCGATTTCGTTGGAGTGGTGGACATTGCCGCCTCAAATAGCTGTGCGCCTTTGAACTCTGAGACGTCAGATCTCTGCTTCGTGAGTGTGCCATACTTGAGGATGCTGCCCCTTTTCATGCCGGGGTCGATTGGTCCCTTTTTCTTGGGGCCTGTCTTCCGATTGCTTGACTTCTTCGGCGCGGAAGCCTTTTCGGCCTGTTCCTTTTTCCAGGCCTGCACAACCTCAGGCACCCCGATGGTGGCAAGAGTTTCAAAGATCCAGACTTTCTCGGCAGCATAGGGGTCAAAACGCTTCGCGGTTCGCTTCTTAGTCGGCGACTGAACTGTAGCCTCTGTATAGACTTCCACCTCGTCCTCTTCATCCCCAGAAACTATTGTCGTTTCCTGGGAAGGAATCGGGGGATTGGGCTCCTCGGCGAGTAGGTTCAAGCCAACCACATCTATCGGGACAATCTCCAACTGTAGCTCTGTCAGGCCATCGGTACTAAAGCTGGTCCGGCTTTTGTAGATTTTTCGCAACATTTGCACATTGCTGTCTGACAAGGAAGAATTCCCGGCGAAGGGCGACGGGCTTTTCTGCAAGCGAAGTCTGTAGGAGACAAGAGGCTCTGCGAGCAACTTGATTACCTTCCTTGCTCCAGAACGATAATTCCACTCAAATGCATCAGCAGTGAATCTTCGCAGTTCTAGGACGTCGATTTCCTGATCCCAAGCATTCATCAGGCGGGATTTTAGCGCGTCAATGTCCTGTGACGAGGACACCACGGGCTTGGCGTAATACGATAGGACTGTCCTATCTGGGAACGACTCTGGAATGCGTACTGCTTTGTGCTTCGTTTGGAAATACCCGCTTTCGTTCTCGTCCAGCTCGTACTGTAGTCTTTCCCTCCATTCTTCTAGTTTCATGTCGAGTTCAGGCCCGTCGGTCCTGATAGTGTCCAATAGATCCGCACCAAAGCCTGCTCTGGCAATCTCTGCGGCCAACTTGCTGCCACACTTTGGAACCCCAGACGGCAGGTAGTCACCGCCACTGAGCATCGCGAATAGGATCATACCAGCACGGTCAAGCGTCACATTTGAGGGATGATCGCTATCTCCACACATTCTGTAACAGGTGATATGCGTGGCTGCAGAGGTGCCACTGCCACTCTCCTTGGAGAAATTCATAACGGTCAGGGTCGAGCCAAACATCAAGGCGTCAACATCGTTGCTCATGACGGCATCGACGACACCTGCTCTCTGCAATCTAGCACATTCTGCTTCCGCCTCACCCGGAGCATCGTGTCGAGGAAACTTGAACAGATCGATCAGAATCTTCGACAGTCGGATGATGGGCGCGTTCCCGTAGCTGCGACCAGAGACAGCCTTGCCTCTCTTGAAGGGCGGTTTGTCCTTTCCATCATAAACAAATAGTGGATGGATAGGCAGCGTTAGGAACTTCAACAGTCTGTAGAACAGAGTCCGCAGCTCTGGATTTCGTCCACCTCGACCGGCCTGTACTTGGAACAGCCATATCGAAATGTCCACGGCAATGCGTATGGGTCTTGAAGTCCGTTCCAAGTGGGTTATTGCCAGCTTGGACAAGGAAATCCGTTCTCCAGAGCCAATGGCATTGATGAGTCTATCACACGTTAGCTGCCTTGTGGATTTCTGGTTTCATTATGTCTTTGTTCAAGGAGCTTTCTTGTGACAGTTGTCCAATCTCATGCATTCGAAAAATATACAAAGAGGCTAGGAGTAATCGTTGTGAAAATGAGCTTGGCACCTACCCAGGAATCCCCATCAGACAGATCAGAGACCACGCGTAAAAACCCAAATAACAAAACCCAGAAATGAGCAGTCGTCTCGACTCCTGAGTGCTTGCTTCAATATCCTGATCGTTGCCGCGGTGTTGTTTGTTGTTGACGTCGGAAGCTGATGCGACGGCCCGATAAAAGTTCCGTCCTAGTAACAGGAGAACGAGAGTTGCTCTTTCGTCGGTCCCCTCGCAATGAGGAGCTTGCTCTTTGAGAGATGCTGGAAACTCCAGATCAATGATTGTTCAATATATTCCAGCGCTTGATGATTAACTGGACCCTTGATTGGTGAGTTGTGCAGGGAAAGAATGACTCGCGGGTGGGCAACACTCAATCGGTCTGTTCTCCGCGCTTTGAATTAGGAGTCGACACGCTTCAACGAAAGTTACCATCGACCGACATAGGGGTTACGAAGCAATGGCGACCGCGTCTGCAGCCTTACTTGATGACGAGAAGCGCTCATTCCCCATAAATACCAATTTTCCTATGAGCTTACGCCATAATCAAACCGGTAGACCGTCCTCACCTCACACACCCCAGCACCAATTGCGGTCCAATAACTCTTCCTTCGCGAGCACGGGCTCGGGAGCCTCTTCCTTCCGTGGAGAAGAGGATGCGATTATATTTGAGCTTGGATCGCGGTGGCTTCGAGCTGGATTTGAGGGAGAAAGCAGACCCATATGTGTCGTTGGATATGGGCCAGAAGATTCGAGGAGAGCTGGGGATTACCGAGGGTGGTTGAAGGGGATCAACAATATCACCAGCTCACGAGCAGTCAAGGCAGATGAATGGGCTGGTGCATACGAACTGTGGAAAATGGATTTACGTGATGTCGACCTGGGGCTCATCGAGGACAAAATCGAACGGGTATTTCGGGAAACCTACAACAAATATCTGCTGACAGATGCGGGTACATCACGATTGGTGCTGGTCATCCCGTCTATCATGCCACATCCGTTATTATCTTCGATTTTGTCGACGCTCTTCAGTCGCTGGCGATTCCCGAGTATTACCCTTCTTCCAAGCCCTGCAATGGCCGCAATAGCAGCAGGGGTCCGCTCAGCATTGGTGGTAGATATGGGATGGGCGGAGACTATTGTAACCGGGCTGTACGAATACCGAGAGATCGCGACCAAGCGAAGTACAAGAGCCATGAAGTCCCTACTCCAAGAGACAGGGAGAATGCTCACTCGACTTGCCTCGGACGCCAGCCGGGAATCTGAAGCTGTGGACGACATAACCGTCAACTTCGAGTACTGTGAAGAAGTTGTCAGTCGATTTGCTTGGTGCAAGCCCCGGATAGGTGACAAAGCATCTTCACCATCAGAACTGCACAATGCACAATTACCGACGGAGAATGGCCCCGACTTCATCGGCAACAGGATGGTGTCGATTCCGTCTCCATCGAATCCTAACTCGACCTACATTGATGTTCCATTTTCCAGACTCGCGGAGCCGGTTGAGAAGATTCTTTTCGCCAAGGGATCGGCGGCGCGCGATTTGGACGACGAGGAAAAGTCAATGCCATTGTTGGTTTACAACACGCTTCTCTGCCTGCCCCCCGATGTTCGCGGCACATGTATGTCGCGGATAATTTTTGTTGGAGGTGGTGCTAATATTCCTGGTATTCGACGGCGAGTGATCGACGAGGTGGCGTCTATGGTCAATGCATATGGCTGGAGCCCAGTCCGCGGCGAAGCAACCCAGAAAGTAGAGGAGAAGCTCCTGGCTTTGAGGCCCAATCAGCCAGCACCGGCGAAGGACAGTCAAGACAATACCACGGAGCCCTCTGAACCTCCAGCGGGACAGGGCCGTCAAGAGAATGGGGCGCCCGAAGAAGAAGTAGATTACGTTGAGCAGAAGCTACGCCGTAGCAAGGACAAGGACATGAAACACCAGGTTCATGGTATACTGCGCGAGGTGGAATCTCTGGGTGCCTGGGCCGGAGCTAGTCTTGTGGCAAGCCTCAAGATCAGGGGACAGGTGGAGATTGAGCGGGAGAAGTACCTTCAGCATGGTCTTGCAGGTGCCAGCCGGGACTTGGATCACGGCCATGTTCCTGATCGACGTTCTGGTCTTCGAGCAGGCGGAGACCGGTCAAGCTGGACACTAGCAGCCTGGGGTTGAACTGATGGGCCAGGACGTGTGTGGCTATACATTTATTTGCATGTCATGAACCTGAGACCAAATGACTGACAGAAGAGCTTGAAAATTGACCTGTATATATGATACCCAGTTAGAATAGGAATAGTTCATTGATTTGGGATGTTAGTCCCTATGGTACTTATTCCACTCCTTGAGTCTTCCCGATTGCTCTTCGATCGAGCAACGATAAGATGTGCAGCTACGAAGTCATGCGCAAACGGCGAACAAAATTATGACTTGAAGAGATTTATATTATTATGTACACGTTGAGACACCATGATCTCAAAGCTGCTCGTATATCATATCGGAGCGGCGATATCACTTCGAATTCAAAGTCAGCTCAGATACTTCAACCCCCCATTTTCACGGCAAACGACTCGGTCTAGACAGTGCCGAATTGATAAGTAGCCCAGTTGACGGCTGGACCATCGGCGGGAGAGAAGATCTGCTCCGACAACTGTCCCCATTCCGGGTGGTTGATGCCATCAATCCAGCCCTCAGGCTCGATAACCACGCAGCCATACTGCATGACGTTCTGTGCACCTTCCTTGCCCTCTTCCTTATTACGCTTCTCCTGCGTCGGCTTGATGGCAACGTAGTCCATCACGGTGTTGTCGCAGGTGTAGATTTGCAGAGCGGGCATGTTGGACGATACTTGGAGGCTGATACCGGTTGCGCTGGAATTCATGCGGACGATGGGGACGAGCGAGTCCGGAGCGGCGTATTGAGGGGGTCGGTCGACGAGCCAGCAGGTATCGTAGCCGGTGCAGTCTGTGCCGCACATACCGTAGGTATCCTTGAGATCAGCGCCGATGAGCTTGCCCGTGGTGAAATCGGGGGCGCCGTTGTACGCATCGACACCGAGGATGGTGCCGTTGGGGATGAGGATGCCATCTGTGGCGATGATGCGGTTGGAGTAAGGAAGTTGCAGGAAGGTGTCATTCAGGACATTAGGGGCCTTGAAGGCATTGAGGTTCCAGTAGATGTGGTTGGAGAGCATGATGGGTGTCGCCTCCGTCAGGGCAAGTGAGACCAGTTTGGTGGTCAGCTGGGGGAGACCCTTTGGGTTCTCTGGGGTGACGGTCGTGTCGACGCTGTAGACGGCGTGGGTGATGACGTCTCCGGGGAACTTCTGCCAACCTTGGTCGAGAAGAGTGAAGGTGACGGAAGACTTGGAGTGTGCTGTGACAGTCCAGTTCCGTTGGTCGTAGCCCACGTTGCCTCCGTGGAGAGTGTCAATGCCGTTGTGCTCATTCTCCGGCACATGGTACTCGTTCGTGCCGATGGTGAACGTGCCGTTCTTGATGCGATTGGCGTACCGACCAACAACAGCACCGAAGTAGGTGTGAACTGTCTCTGTATCATTCAGGTAGGCCTTGGGGTCATCGTAGCCAATGACGACATCCTGCTCCTTGCCATCGCGATCCGGGACCATCAAAGATATCAACCGTGCTCCATACGGAATAAACTTGGCAGTGATGTTTCCCGCCCTGATGGTATAGACCTTGAAGGGATCTGTAGCTGAAGTGCTGGACGAAGAAGAGGAGCTCGACTGTGTACTCTGAGCCAAAACTGGCAGTCCATAGAGGACGGCAGAGAGATAGTGCTTGACGTGCATCCTGAACCCCAGTAGAATAGTGATGGTGATGAAGAAGGAGCAGTAAATGATCAAGACACGAGGGGTTATCCGAGCAGGACACAGCACAGAACGGAAGCAGCCACGAAGAGGGGTTGAGCGTCGATTAAATACTGGGGAGGAGACCATAATCCCCTAGCCCAAAACAATACAAACGTCACTGCTAGTAGTATTTGGCACTCATTCACCTCATGATGCCACGCCTGATCACCGAGCGGGGAAACAAAGCGCAGGAACCAGCAGGAAGCTGGGGTAGCCTCGACCTCTCGTGCTTCGCTGATTTGCTGAGATGACTCGTAATTTACCGAAAAAGGACGCAATCGACGGCAAGCTTCCAGTTGTATCGAGAGCCTTGGTGACTGGTCAAGAATGTGCAGGGGATTGTGCCGCGTGCAATCACTACCTAGGTAGATACCTTGCTTCTTGCCAATAAGCTTGACGGATCCAGTCGGGGTGAAGCTGTCAGTGAATGCAAGATTCTACTGGAGGATCTAGCTGATATCAGTCGTAGCTGTACGGAGTACTCCGTCGATTAATTAAAATGAAATTTTCCGGGTATATTGCTCTCAATGCTCCGGCGACAATTAAGCAATACGCCCCCTAAACACACCATGAATCCGGCTCAGACTAGTGAGTGCCTGAGGTCAACAAGGCCGCAAGGCGTCGAGGCAAAATTCGCGTGGTTGGATCTAGGACATGACGCTAAACCTTTACAGGCAACTCCGGTGGGGGATTTTGAGCTCCATTTGCGGGGAAGGAAAAAAGGCTTGTCGATCATTTTCTCAGTTTCTACTTTCTCCTCTTGGTTGAGGGCGATGCTCGAGGAGTGACACTAACAGGGAACCGGCCATCCAGCAACAACTTTTGCTGGCTTATGCATGGAGTAAATTAGAGACAGTGACAGCACACTCACTCTTCATTCCCTGATAGAGATTTCTGTTAAAGCAGATGACGGAAATTGCTGCTTGGTAAATGATTGGACCACTGCAGCTGTGGCCTCTATGACTGACCGTACCCGGAGCGGAACAGCATATTTCCTGATTATATAATCCCGACGCGTCCCCTCGCCTTCAGGTCGGCCCGGACCCTCGGCCTGCCTGATCGGGAGACTTGTTTATGTTGGATATGCGGACTTAAAAGTGTCAAAGTCTAGAATGATGACAGCTAATTTGGTTTTTTGATGATGATGGATTTTGAATAGTTGCGCGAGCAATACAACCTCTATAGATTGCTTTTCTGCGCGACGCGATTTGCGGCACGATCGCCCCTCCCCATGAACCGCATTGTTTGTTGCATGGCGCAATGTTCTCTCAAAGTTCCAGCTCTTCTCCAGACATTCTTGGGCCCCCTGGCGACGCCGATTATTTGATATCATCTCCGATCAGACCTTTCTCCGGTCGCCAGAGCTTCATGTCGCCAGCCAATTTCAAGCTCCTTCAAACCCCGCGGACGGGCAAGGGAAAGCGGTCGCGCATCAATCTTAGTCCGGCCAAGAGCGCGCACTCGATTCGATTCGACGATGTCCTGCTTCCTATGTCCCCGACTATGAAGTTAAATGGTCGACAACGATCATTATCTCCAGACAAGGCACACGCCGACGGAAACGTGAGCCCGTGGAGGATCCGAGTAACGCTCGAGGCAACACAAGATGAGGAAATGAACCAAGGGAGCCCAGCCCGCAAGCGGCTGAGGCCGTCGACGGCCAAGACAACCAAAATACCTCTCAAGGATGCCGAGGACCATGCGGAACAGACGCCGAGAAGGCGCAGAGGGCGCCCAAGGAAGTCGGACATACGGGAACAGGGTGCTACGCCTACAGCAGGTAGTCCCGGACACACCCCGGGCCCAGGAGGGGCAAGTGGACAGAAGAGAAAGCGCGGTCGACCAAGGAAACAGTCTCTCAATCCGGATACGGTAGACGGCGATGAGCAAGTCACTGATTCGGCGGATCATCAAGAGACTCGCCTTGTTGAGCCTGGGCTGGAGCGCGAACAAAGATGGAGTCCGTTAAATCTTGCTGGGGACGCAGACTCGGACGACGACGCTTTGCCAGAGGGTTTCATGCCTGTCGACACTTTTCCAGAGGACAACAACATGGGGCAACCCGATGCAACCGCTTGGGATCGGAGCTCCCCCCGAATACCTAATGAGCGTACGTATGACACACCAGATGTGACTGCAGTGGATCAGGTATACGGACAAAACCATGATGAAGAACCGCAGTCGACTCCTTCGAAAATGCCATCGCCTTCTCGGGAAAGCCAAGGATTCTCACCAGACAATACACTACATGCTGGCCATACACCGAGACCGCCACGGTCATACCCAAGTCCAACCTCCTCCTCGCTGGGTGATGATGACAGAGCGGTACAAGTCGAATCTAAGGCCCGTGCTGAAGAATCTGGCCATGAACAAAATACAACTCGTCCTACAAATGATCCAACTGACGAACATAGGGAGTTTGATTCTATCATGGAAAGCGAAGGCTTTAGCATGGTTTCATTGGATACACTACCATCGGTCAAACAACACGGGCTGAGCATCAACTCGCAGACTGGTAAGGGCGCTCTGAAGCCATTCCTGGCGCGAGAGAAGATCGCGACCGCAGAGATGTCGAAGCGCAAGGTGTCGAGCCTGAATCTAAATCACAGGAAGGATCCTCCAGATGTAGAGGGGGAAAAAGAATCGAGCTTGCAAGCGACTGAGCCCCAGGTATTGCCGGTATCCGCCGAGAAAAATCAGTCCGCGCCTGCTCTATTGCGTGAATCTCCCGTTTCAGCCTTTGTTCCGAAGCAAAGAAACCCGCTTGCAAGGCTGGCTCGAATTATCCGCGCAGGTGTAGCCCTTGAAGGTACCCTTCGGCGTCCATACGAGGGGGCACCTGTGCCCACGCCGGGCACACCGGATCTGAGAGAACAAATTTCTAGTCTGGAAGCACCAAAAAGGCGCCTGGAGCTCTTGTTCAGCGACTTACACCCGAGGATGAGACGAGAACTGCGCGCAGGCTTGGGGTTTGCACAGGAGCTCGCAAAGAGGAGGAGAAAGACAGAAATTGAACGGGCGAGACAAATGGCATCAGTAGAAGCAAGATTGACGGGCAATGCCGGAGGCACAACCACAACTCCTCAACAGGTATTCAGCGGAGCTGCTGTGAAGGACACTCCGAGTACAGAAATGAAACGGCGACTGGAGGAATGGCAGCGGGAGAGGGAAGCCGTCAGCCGAGAGATCCAAATGGCAAATGCCAGTCAAGTCATTGTGGTTGACAGTGACACGACCGGGCCACCGAGTCCGGAGATTGATGCGAACGGCAATCAACTAGGGAATCAGTCAGACCAGGAGGCTGATCTAGGGGGTCCCCATAGACAAGAGTCGGGAGATTATCTGGCACGGGAAGTGTATGACGAAGACAGACCCGACCAGGACGTTGATCCCGGTGAATCGCCGCGGCATGATTTGGAAGCGATTCAGGCAGAAGAGGTTTACGAGGAGGAAGACGAAGATGGCTATGAGGATATCTGGCAGCAAGAAGCGAGAGACCATAGCAACATCTCGCATCGCTCGTCAACGCTTTACAGAAGGGAAAATGATGACGTCGAAGCACGGCAAGAATCTAGCCCATCGGAGAGCAGCCCTGCGCCCAGCGAGCCTAGGGGACCCTTCTCTCCAAAGTCGTGGACGAACGACAACGGTAAGGTGCCGTTCTTGGGCCATTCGCGTGTCAAGAGACTGCGCGAGCAGACAGTGGATCTCTCTACGGTGCTTCGTGGGGAGGAAACCCCTCGCCACATTCGTCGCTATTACGGTCAAAGCAGCCCTGAAAAAAGCGCGAGTGGACATTCAGCGGAGCGGCAACGATCAAATCCAGATTATCCGGAGGAAAATGCGGAAGATTATGGGATTGAAGACGACCAAGATTCACACATCTATCTGGAATCAAGCCCCAACAGAGCTTCAGATGATGACACATTTCAGATCGACCCTACTACAAGGCACGAGAGCGAGAGGCAACGTGCCGATCAGATGGCGGAGGAGATCGAGGACGAGCATATTCCAGCTACCGCGCTAGCCGACCAACGTTCCGTCCTTGAAGAAAATAGCACTACTCCTGCACAGAATCGATATTTCGGTGGAGATGGTCAGGCATCAACCTGGATTCAGAAGATTACTAGTCTTACACCCGGTTGGCTGAAAGCTCCAGTTCGAAAGTCGTTTGGACCAACCAGTCCTGGGTCTGAAGAAGCCTCGGAAGCGGAGCATGAGGAGGAGCCTGACGTCAGATCAGCCAACGCAGAAACACATCTCGACGATCAAATGTATCCCGAAGAGACGGATGAATCACCAAGGCAGGTTCTGGAGTCCGCAGAGCAGAACAACGCGCAGCCGGACTCACCTACGTCAAGCGCCGCTCGACCTGTCGAAGAAGTCAGGGCCGAGACGTACGAACCTCAATTTCCACTCGCTGTCTCGGGATATTTCACAGACGATCACTACGCTCTCCTTCGTCGGCTTTATCGATTGGCAAAACGTCATCCAGAACGGTTTCCTTACTACCCAGCACCTGGCCGCTCCGACATCATTGGTGATTGGATCTGGACATCGGACGGCGAGCATGGGGTGCGTGTTACTGAGACCCAGTTTGCAATCATTGACCGGTTTGTGCAAGAGCTGGCTCGTGGCGACCTGCAGGCGGGTGGGACGGGCCAGATTGGCTGGACAGAAGCAGATATGCACAGAAGACTGATCAGTGTGATCATTGGCGAGCGGATCAGAGAGGAAATGAGGGCAGAGATGAGTGACAAAGGGTCAGCCCAGCAGATGGGAGGTAGAGGAGCCGCTCTCACGGCGTGGCGTCGATGACGGTTTATCCATCACCCTCGACTCTGGTCATCGTCTCTGACCTTGGCCTGTCTTTTGGTTTCTGCGCAATGAAGTTCTCGAGTTTTGATCTGTTTTGGTTTACATATTGTCGGGCTGTTACGGATCCGGTGGACCAATGATTGCATACGCCGCCAGTTGGGTTTCCAAGCATATTTTTTCTTTTGGTTTGTCATTGTGATATCGCATTTGGATTGACGCACTATTCCCCTCTCGTTTCGTTTGTCATGGAGATTGGACCTGATTGGGCCTTGACTGAGTCACCTGGTCGAGAAGTACAGTAGTGGGTCTTATTTGTCAATAGGTGTGTTTGGTGTCTATTTTATTGCACAATATCATTGGACAAGACGTGTATACGACTCGACTTGACTTTACTTTTCTTTTCTTTTGCTTCTATTCCATTGTCTTCTTGGGCCACACAGAACCTACCTGTATCTGTTCCGGATGGCGGGGACGTCTCCGAGTAGTAGAATGGCTCAGGTGGACCAACGGCTGTGGAGTTGGTCTCTTGGATCGTACCTGGTATCGACATGTATACACCAGAAATTCTGGCAACTTCGATGATGCTTCTGGCGTCGTTCTAAATGGGGACGGGGGGAGGTATCGTGACCTGTTCCTTGTTTGAGCAGCGAATCCGTTGCTATGAGCCTGCCACGCTATGCAGCGCCTGGGCCTGAGTTGGCATGGCCGCAAGAGAGTAGAGCACGGTGACTGTGCGGAACCCTCGACAAAGATCTAGACTGACACGATGAGGTTGTGCTATTCGTGATTGGCGAGCCGTCGCATTGGGGTTTCGACCAGGCTGCAGGTCTGGGAGGAGCAGCCAAACAGAGCGCGGAGAGGACTGGCTAGCCTTTTCTAGACGGGTGATGCAGAGCGTCGGTATGAGGCCTGACTCGTTTTGGATGTGACTTGTTGTGCAGTATAGGATGAGTGATGGCCTCTCAATGGCTGAGGTATAGCCATTATGGTTATGGAGGACGATTCGAAGCAGTACTCTTCTTTGATTTTCTGGATCCCTCGGGGAGAGAAAGAGATTAGCACGGATATAAATAGAGAGAGGTAAGCACACAGGGACGAAGAAAGTAGGATTACTCCGTATATACCTAAGCATTGATATCTTACCTCATTCATTCCTTTCCATTGTACATCCAACCCGCATGGCTACCAAGATGGGCATGAGCCACACCGTCAAATGCGTCTTCCGCCTGACGTTCCTGCTCAAGCGAGCCGAGCGCTCATTACACCAAAAGGGCAAAGCAGTCGATCACAGCCATCCCACTGTGCCCTCCCTCCCCCTACCCAACTGCGAATGCTCAGAGCTCGGACTCGGACCGCTCTGCAAGGAGACGGGAATGCACGACTACGACCACGATACCATCTCTAACACCGACACCGACACCGACACATCCAGCGTCTTGAACCCTGATCTGGCGGTGAGGGCGCACGCCGCAGACACAGACACAGACACAGACGCAGACGCAGACGCAGGTAGCGGCAGCAGCAGCAGCAGCAGTAACCGTAACCGTAACGGTAACCGGAAACGCCTCGTCCGCCTCGTTAGCTTCAAGAGCATCGCGCACGACCGCACGCGGTGGTCCTCATCGCAGGAGCGCGAGCTTGCGATTGCGGAGCACGAGCTGGCGCGGTGTCAGAAGGCTTGGAGTTCGGAGCAGGAGCTGTGGTTGGAATATGTGGGTTACCAATTGACGTCTGATACTGTCGTAAACAGCCATCCGTCCCCCGTTTCTATTTTTTATGTCTTACAAAGACCGAGGTATGGTATAGATGACTAACGGGTCGGTGATGATTTCACCGTATTATTATGACCAGATTAAGATCCTTCTGGAAGAGAAAGAAGCGCACGAGGAGTTTCTGAGCCACCGGGCGAAGCAATCTGGGGATGAGCAGGTGCATTTTCGGAAGGCCTGGAGGAGTCGGCGGGCTGGGGAGGAACAGCGAGGTCGGACACGGAGTCGCAGTCGATTGGGGAGGTTGAGGGGGAGGAGGAGTGGTGAGGGGAGAGAGGAATGAAGAGATTGATGATGAATCTTAATGTTCCATATCATTTTGTTTTGTTGGCAATGAGTTGCAATGGAGGTTTGTGGGTGAAACTAAACAGACAGTGTGCCAGTGTAGGGAATGGATATGATAGGCACAATCTCTAAGTATGAGGTTTTTTTTGCAGCTTATCCTTTTGTCCTCTTTCTCCATAAGAAAAAGAAAAACAATAGAAAAATAACGCCATAGGTTGTTATCAAACTTCAACTAGTTTCCTACTAGACAACTAGAGAATAACAGGACTGATAAGCTGAAGCATAGACCAGTGGTTTCAACGGTCGATATCGCTCCACTGCTCGATCTCCTCGGACGAACTGGAGTTCTGCGCTATACGGAGTATATGGATAGTGATGGTGATAATGATAAACATCCACAGACCATGCGGTTGACGCCGAGTTCCTATGGAGACGAGGGGATTGGGACCGACATGAATAATAAGACCGGATGCCGGACGATGAAGGATAGATAGTTAATGCATGTCAATCAGATCAATTTTTGAGTCTGGAGGATCGACAAAAGCAAACAATATCCAAAACTTCATGGAGAGACGGGTCAAAGAATGCATTTGTCAACCGGCTGTGGCAGTGTCTGCGGTCTGTCACTGATCTTCATCATCTGACATGACAATAAAATAAATGACTCGCGAATATCTTCAGGTTGACATGTCTTATCTCTTCCCTTAGATTGACCTCCGACTAATGCTATCTCGGACATAACTGATAAGACCCCATCTTTGATCATAGGTAGACAGCTATCGTTAGCCACCTCTTCCTTTCTCCCAGTTCCTCTTTTCGAATTGAACTGGGGTTGAGAAAGTTCAATATCCTGTCTGAGCATAATATTTCTGGTGTACTGAGTAAGACCATTCAGCTTCAAAGACTCGGACATACTATGTATTTCTGAACCTGGATACCCCCAGGAAGTACAGTCTTGGTGTAGTGACAGGTATAGATAATCCTTGAATTGATCCTGAGGCGTACTTCAGGCATTAACAAATCACGTTGCCTCGTATCCCTACCACTTCCCATCATCCTTCATCCTTCATTAAAGGTATCCATCAAACTTGACCTCTCTCCTCCTCATCATCATCTCCATCAATCCCTTTAATATACATCCCCGTTATATTCATGGCTGCTATAGCCCTAGCCCATCCTCCTTTTGAATCATTCTCCGGAGTTCCCCACCGGGTTAACATCAACGGTACTGTGCCACCGTCAGGGCTACTAGATTCTACCAATTACTTACGCTATTCAGATTTGTTATCTCTCCCTCATGCTCCACCATTGCCAGTCGTTTGGAGTCTGGGATGCTTATCCCTTGGCCATGATCATTGACCACTATAGCCTACCTTTGCTTTTTCGCCTTTGGTGATTGTTATTCTCTTGTCCTATGGAGTACCGGCTCAATCATGGCGCTCCCAGTCATTGTCAGCCTCGATCTTTCGTTGGTCACCAAGTATCTTGTCCCAGAAATCCATCTATTCTGCTCTCCTCCCTCATTTATCTCTTTAATCCTCCCTCGTCCATGGTCAGTCTTCAGCATGATTTGCCGCTATTGACGACGCCTCTCAATAATGTTGAGACGTACCCCTTGCTGAGTGCAAGATAAGCCTCGTGTCAACCAGTAGGTCATTGTTCCGTTCCTTCGGGGTCCTCTAACTGCATACGCCCGGTATCTCTTGTTCTACGGAGTAGAGAGCATTTTATTCATCAATGTCTTCCCCCACTCCCCCCTTCTCATATTGGCCCCTGCACACATGACAGACTGTTAAGACCCCGCTGACAGCTGCAAGGAGAATCATTATTGCATGACTGCGGACTTGCGTTACATGCAATGATTCAAATAGTCTAGACTTTCTATTCCTGGTCGATACCACCATACCTCTGATCGTATATCAATTCCCGTCCCGCCATCGGGGATTCCTTTCCTCGCCGGCTCGGTTCGCCATGCGCGCGCAATGTCGGTAACAACGTCCCTTTGGTGGCCCGAAGATCGAATCCAAGCCACTCTATGTCCGGAGTATGTCTTTGGACATCTTCCCTCCAATCTTTTGCCACGTCTAGTGGCCCCTTTGCCCTGGGGAGAGGGTCTTACCAGTGAGACGTATCTCGAATGGATCCTCCACAAGGCCGGCAGACTCTTTTTGATCCTAGTCGACATCGGCATCCCTGAGCGTATTTTCTCCCTGGTTGACGAGTCGTTCGATGACGCAGACTTGCCAATTGCAGCCCACAGCGTCGATCGTCTGAAGCTCTCCCTTGACGATGAGAATCCGGCCCTAGATGCCAAGTTCTTCCACGCCCAGTGGCGTTTCCTCGTTCGAGGGATTAGTCAAGGTGATCATATCAAGTATACCGAGAATGAAGGCGTTCCTGTCGAATTGCTACGCAGTGAGACGGCGCTTGCGCGAGAAGGGGTGGAAAAGGTCATTCTGGCTGGCGCGGTCTGCCGGGTATATCTGCGGACCCAGGTCACCGTCGGAGGCGCGCCGCATTTCTTTGAAGAAGAGGAGGTTTTGGACGAGATTCGCTCCCTGCGACGGTTATCTCACGATCATGTCTTTTCCATTTACGCTTCTTATTTTGTTGATGATACCATGTGCATTCTGTTTTCCGGTATATACGATCGTACCCTGATGTCTTTTCTCACCGATGTACCTCAACCTTTCAAACGCTTGCCCAAGAATCGGCGCCGCGAGATCCTCATCAATTGGCCGCACCGCCTAGTTGACGGGCTGTCGTGGTTGCATGCTCATAGCCAAGTCCATGGCGCCATTCGGCCGTCGAATATCCTGATTGACTCGGAATACCGCATCTTCCTGGGCCAGTTTGAGGCGCTCGATACGTTATTGCCACCTGTCAAAATAGACGATGTCGAATCATATCAGTACGGAGCCCCGGAGCGCTGGGTGCGTGCCGCTACCGTTCAGGATACCGGCCCGACTCGAACAGCTCTTCCATCTGGTGGTCGCACGGGTCGACGACAGCCATCATCCCGCCCCGGAAGACTAAATCTGTTCTCGAGAGGCTCGGGCTCTGATGACGCGGTGGATCGCTCGCAGAGTCCACGAGCCGAGTCAGTCACCTCCCACGGCACCGCCATCCGCATTGGGGGGCTGCCCGATTCGCCGACCCGCTTCTCTTTCGCACTGTCTTCATCGTCCTCCGGGTCCAGCGGAGGAAGTGCTCGCAAGCGCGTCGTCGCCTCAGTCAAGCGGCCTATCTTATACACTCCATCCATCACCTCGTCCAATTCCTCCGGCTCCTCGGGTCGCTCCGCTCCTATGGTCCTCGACCCAGCCCGACTCCCAGGCACTCGATCGAAAACCGCCGTGGTGCAGACTTGGCAGTCACGACAGACAGACCCCGAGGCATCGGACATATTCTCTCTCGGAGCCGTGATCCTGGACATCTTCACGCACCTTTGCAAGCGCAAGATTGCCGCCTTCGCGCACCACCGGGGTGCAAAGAACAGGACCGCCGGGCGCGGAGGAGGCGTCGCGGACTGCTCGTTCCATTTGGACCGCAATATCGGCCAGGTAAGTTCGTGGATTGCCCTGCTGGAACACGACGCGGGGAAACGGAAGGATCCCGTCTTCCGCGCCGTCCAGCCAATGCTCGCCGTAGTGCGAAGCATGCTGGACAAGGAACCGGGCAACCGGCCCTCAGCCACACGCGTGGAAAGCCGCTTCGTCGCCGCCCTGCGCCAGGTAGACGACTCGGTCGCTTTGCACTGCACGTCGAAGCTGCACCTCCACGCCGTCGAAGCATCCAAGACGCAGGGCATCCCGCAGCAGGAATCCTCAAAATCGGAGACTCCGGCCCCGGGCTCAACCCACCCCAAACTCACTGTCACACGGTGCCCTGCCCAACCAGCAGAGCAACCTACCGACTTTCCTCATCCTTCGACACGATCACCGGCTGTCTCGCGTCACCCTTTTCCGTCTCCATCGGTAGCCACCTATGCCGGTTACACAGAGTGGACAGACACCTACACGTACAGCGACGACGACGACTCCGACCAGGAAAGCAGTGAGTACACCGCTTCCTCTTCATCGCTCAGGGTTCCCTGGCCAATGCCGCCAGACGGCCCCTTGAGGCCGGCTCCCTCCCGGGATTCTATTCTAGGCTACGGAGTTGCAGTCACCGATTGATGGACTTTCACTCCCAGCTATTCTTCATCACTTCTTTATGGCCTGACGCATCTCAAAGTATCTACTTCTCACGCTCCATTGTTTCCCTGACATACCCCCGTCCGACTATGGATCTCCCCTGTGGCTTATCGGATTTGTTTCTTATCCCTTTCTTCTTCTGCCTGTTCATTTCCTTTAAGCAGTCATTCTCTGGAGCTCATTTCTTGTATACCACCCGATCATTACTTCTTAATTCTTGCTGTCGGAGAGTAGTGCTTGATTGGGGTCTTTGTGTCTGTCTTGAACCTGGCTCTGAGTCGGTCCCGGCATTCGGGATGAACGAGTGTAAGGTTTATGGCTTGGAATATCATGACTTTCTCTGTAACTATACTGAATGACAGCGTTCCAGCCGTCTTTCCTTCACCAAGTACTACGGTGTTCCAATAGCGGGAGTGGAACGAGCGAAAATGACAAATCTATGGATGACCATGAACGAATGGAAGCTGGAATTCATTCTATTGCGGGACATGGCTGGCCTGCGCTCATGTTGATACAGAAAGTAACAGATAATGACGGTGACCAGACGGCCAGGGTAAGCAGCAAATAACCACATGGGCCAAAAAAGGCATGACAATAAGGGAATAGGCACAATCAGGGTCTCAAAACGCTCTTCGTAGTCATAACGGCTCAAGTCATCTTACAATCATAGCCACACAGCGACCATACCGATCACAAATCCGATCAACAAGGATGCGCTCGCGACATAATTCGACCCAGCAATCCGTGGAAGAGAAAGGGGACTGGCTGCACCGGTGTGGAGTAGGTGTGTCGGGGTTGAGGATGTTGACGTGGTAGCTGTGGCACTGATGACTGGCGGGCTTCCAGAACCACTGACGTTAGTGACCTGGACTTTTGAGCTGCCTTTCATGTTTGTCTGGCCGAGTGTGGGCAGCGGAGAGCTGGGGTCGACCTCCCATGCCCCCGCCGTGTAGGCAGGGCACGCCGGGGGCGTGATAGTAGAGGTGGATTTAACATAGTCAGACAAGGCGACGCCAGTGGGTTTCAGTGTAGCCCACTGGGACTTGAGGTTGGAGAAATCAGGAGACACGGGCGTCGGGACACCTTTGCGAGTGTAGCTATCGTAAACAAGAGTGTCGGTCGGGGGAGCATTTGGCGCAGGAGGACCGTAACTGATCAAACCGTAGTCGTTGACCTCCTCGATCCACTCATAGATCATAGAACCGGACCAGGTTTCCGACATATATTCGCCGAAAATGGCAGCTTGGTCGTCAAAGGTTCTAGGACGCACGGCGTTGCAGCCAGTCTCGGAGAAGAAGATGGGGATCGGATAGCCACTTGCGTTTCTCTGGAGCTCTCTATAGCCAGACTGAATGTACCCGGAAACTCCACACCACTCGTAGGCATTCAGTGCGAAGAAGTCCAGTCGATCATCGGGATCTTCCGCGCAAGCCAGATAATTCTGCAACATAGGACGCAGTTCCGCAATATCCGCTGCAGAGTAACCCACAGGAATGGATCGGTAGTTCTGTTCATCACGGTAGGCTTTGATATCTCGAGCCGCAGCCAGCACATAGGGAGCAGCGGCCGAGCCCTCTTTTGTGGTGAGGACCTCATTTCCGACGAAGACACCCGCGGTATTTTCATACTTCTGAAACTCGTCCAAGACCTGCTTGAACCGGTCAAACTGGGTTTCATTCCAGTGAGGATCATTCTGTTGATCGAGACAGTCAGCGATCAGCTTGTGGTTGAATTACGAATCCCGCAATGAGAACTGACCTGCTCGATCTGTGTCTCAAAAGTGTCGAGATCAACGAACAGGTAGATGCCAGCATCTGCCAGAGCTTTCATGCAGCCGTCATGATTGGCACTGGGATCGACGTGGTAGACGCGAATGGCGTTGGTTCCCAGCTCAGCCATGAGAGCAATGTCGCGAGTGCATTGTTCCGTGTCGATGAGTGGATCATCAGGAACGAGTTGGTACGCGATACCTGTAATATGGGTATGTCGTGTCAGTGAAATTGCTGAAAGACTGAGAGGGGAATATGAAATCGCACCTTTCAAGAAGTACTGGGTACCGTCTTCGTAGAAGAACCTGGAACCAACAGCTGAAATTGTCTGAATGGCATCAACAGCCACAGGAGAGAAGCCTCCCAGCAGCAACGAGACTGCGGACAGAGAGAGCGAAGAGCGAAGCATATTGAATGCCTGTTGCAGATGAAACCCGTCTAATAACTATGCTCACAGATAGTCCTGCTGTTGGATTGAAATGTGGGATTGAAACAAGTGGGGATGAGAGAAGAAAGAAGAAAGAAGAGAGAAAGGCTGAAAGACACTCCCACTTGAAGGCTTTCAGAAGAAAACAGGATGTACGGAGTACACAGCTTGGAAAGAGCCCAACTCAATTCCCTGATTTGGCAGTCAAACAGCCGCTAAGGAAGGAGCTAACACTAACGACCCTCTTCGAGACCAGCAGACTAGACAGGTAGACCGTAGACGAGAGATGCATCGTTGATATATGTATGCTGTGGGAAACAATCCAGCCTCCTGGTTCAGGCATTCAAATTGCGCTCCTCGCTCGAATTTTGTTACTGCAGTCATGCTGTATCGTGCAAGTCTTCTTGAAGGCAAGTCATGCATGACAGCCCCTAGAGGAGAAATGACGTCGATGGCATTGCTTGTCAGCCCTTGATGAAATCATCACAAATGATCTCTTCTCGATGGAGGAGTTTTCGCGCGTTTGAAGCATTCTGACTCCTCATGAATACGACGCGGGCAGGCGGGGGAAGGAATGTAGGGAGAGTTAGGGAGAGTTAAGAGGGGTTGAATTCAAAGGATGTTGGAAGCACCGCAAGGAGGGCAATAAAATGTTTCGTATTTGAAAATCAGGTTCATATCGAGTTTAACCAGATGCGAAGGGCGAAAAAAAGGTATTGAGATACAGAGAGCCTGGTGCTGATGGTTCTACTATTTGAGGTTATCAGTATCTCGTCTGTTTATGCCTGAGGCAGAAATTGTTAACAGTGCGCAGCGAGTAGTGAATGCCTGAGAACTCAGGCTACTTTTAACCCCTCTAGATTCTCAGATCCAAGCAAGACTAATGCACTGGATCAGAAGCATTTGCTGCTGTGCGGTGGATGTGCCCAACTACCGTCTGAGGCAGAGAGAAACAAGTTTGAAGCCACATCGAAGACTATCACAACCTTATGCTCGTGCTTGTTGGTCGGCAAGATTTCGGTGCTATCTATGAACGGAGGACACCTGAAGTTATCTCGGGAGTATCTTTCTACCCCTCTTTTTCGACTGCAGAATACTGACACTGACAAGTGACAATTTGGTTGACGAAGAGCCAAGACCAGCATCAAAAGCAACACTGTCAACTGGCCGTCGCAGGACAAGCAACGACTTATCACGATGCATTTGCCTTGCTTTGCTTTGGGGTCTGTGGTTCTTGAATATGTGTCCTCCGTAGTCTGGAGTACAGTACGGAATGACACTACTTTCTTCGGCTAGACTGTTGGATCAACAGGATGACATCCCTTGTGCGGAAGAGATCAGCTCAAGACTGTTCCATCTTGAGAGGGGATCGGCAAACAGACCCTGAATTAATCAGAACCCATGCTTTGCCCCCTCGGCCATGCTCAATCCTCATCGACAAGTTATCAGCAAGTAGCAACATGACCCCCTTTTCTTTTCTCTATCAATGGATATCGCCATCCTCCGGCCAGATTGTTTCTTACTTCGGCGTGGCTCTCGAGCTTTGAGACAGATGACCTTAGTCTGATAACATCATGGCATGAGAACCAACCGTTTGTTCTAATGGCGTTGAAGACAATTAATTAATAGGCTCTTGGCAACGATCGAGACCGCGGACTATTGTACGTGTCGGGTCCACCACACACACCAGATCAATCATTGCGATCATCTCTTTGGCTGCTTCCAGGCTCTGTTTGAATGTTGGGTCGCAAAAGAATCAGGAAAATGGCGGGCTGTCTGGATGTCTAAGATCTCTGCAGTGAGCATTTACACTCAGACAGTAAATGATGATATCTATCAATAGGTGATTCCCCCCACTTGGCTGACATCCCTCTTCCTAATCCTAGCAGACACAAAAAGGTCCCTTTTCCCCTAGACTCTCCTTTTTGTTTGATGTCAGTGTAGTACAAATATGCGACTAGTTTCATGTTACCCTCATAAGTTTCTATCTTCATTTCCGATATATTGACGATCGACATCGCAGCTTGCGTGGAAGACGGTCCTCTCCCCTTGGCCGCATCCGGATTTCCTCCTTAAAAAACAACTTCCAGTCCTCACAATTGCGACATTAATTTTAAAATTAATTCCACATAGTTTCATCTTCTTCTCTACTCCTTCTTTTTCCGAACAATCGTCTTCAACGGCTATCTCACTGCTGTTTCTGTCATTCTTCTCCAAACTTTAAACTGCTGGATCGCCCTCATTGTCAAGCTCCCAGAAGCTTCTGTCTCGAACCAAATTCCCTTGTCTTCGTGAAACTGGACCATGCAATCCGTGGTTCTTCCTCTCTGTATCGCCGTGCTCTCGACTCCCTATTCGCTCCGTCTGCCTCCATATTGCCTGATTGGTCGGGATTTGTAGCCCTCTTCATTACTGGCGACAGACGTCACCAACATCGACCGGTACTGTTGATTGTGTACTCATATTTCGTGGGTAGCTCGCTCAGGCCGCTGAAAGCCCCTCTCTGGCAGCGGCAACTGCGTCCATCATCTGAAATCATAATATCTGCTCGAAACGACGGACTCGTGGCTTGAGGACTAGCCCACTGTATCACAGACATGTCAAACAACCCCATTGTGTCACCGTTTCGGATCTCGAACAAGGATTGGGAGAAGCTGAATCGCAACGATGCTTTCAAAGCGGTCAAGGCCCACCTGAGACGCCAAGAGCTGGGAATGGATGCTCCTAGGTATGATGTGTCCAGAGTAACATATATGAGGCTTATTCTGACACTTGGACTGTTACAGCTTCTGCTCATTCCACCGTCGCTCATGTTCCAATCAGGAGCAGGAGAAGTTTCGTCTCCATCGCGATATCATCCACACCCTTCTCCTTCCCTTGTTCCTCCTCCACCATCAAGCCTCTCGAATCGCGACCAGTGTGTTACCCGGGATCAAAGCAACGGACTGCGAACGTGCTTTTCGGGGAGAGGCACGCAGCGCCTATGCCTGGCTGCAATGCATTCTTAGGGAGGAGCACGACTGGTACCAGACAGAGCGCTGCCCGGCGTGCATCGTTTTGCACGTCCTCAACTCGGAGCCGACCATCCGATTTGTTGCTGTGGCGTGCCTGTTGTCGGACAACCTGCAGGGATTGAGCCTGCTCGACACGCAGAAGCGACTGCCCAGCTTCGATTTCTGGTTCGGGGCGTTGGAAAGGGCAGTCCGGGAGGATCCTTTCTGGGGCAATGACTTCTGGCCGGATATTGAGCACCGCGCGCGTACGTTGACCGATGCTGTCCAGGAGTTGGTGGTGCAGTGTCTGGAACTCCGAGCCGCTGTGGAGCGCCAGAGCCTGCAATCTCAATCGCTGTACAACGCCGCCGCTCACGTTCGGTGCGACTTGACGCAGCAGCAAACGGCCCACACCGTTGCCATGAGGTCGTCTAATTATGCCCGTAAACACTCTCGGAAGACGGTCGAGGAGCACAAGTGTCTTGCTAAAGTGTCTGCGAACAGGTGTCTGCAGTCTCACTACAACGACGGAACTCAGGGACTGCACCCTCGCAGTCACGCCGCAGCGCGGAGAAGAACTGTCACCTCGTGAGCATGCGTACAGTCGCGTCGATTCTTGACGTGTACTACAATTACTCGCCCTAGCCCTAGCCCTAGCCCTAGCGGCTAGACTCGGACCACCAAACGGTCTCCCCAGTTGGCCTCGCTCTTTGATGAGCTGTCCAGGCGAACAAGCAGGAGGAAGATGATGAGGCCGGCCGGCCACAGACCCTTAGATGTGGCTGTGACGTAAAGGAAATCGGCGTACTGTAGCCACACTGCTTGGCATTACCGAATGCCGAGCTGATTAGGCTACATCATTTCCACAGGGCTAGAGCATAAATTTCCGTCAAGTTCATGTCTTGGCATGGGAATATGATCTGAAAGTGCAGGGTTTGTCAAGCCTGGCTTTTTCAAGAAGGATCGTTCCTGCGAGGCTGCAACGTCACTCCTATCCACGAAGGTCGCACTGCATGCACTGCGGGAGCAAGTCGCCGGCCTTGTCTAGACTGCGCAAATCCTCGAGCACGGCGTCGAAGGGACATGGTCTGAAGTTGGCAAGTGGAATGTGCATGGGTTGAAGTCCTTGTAATTAGTCTCTTTACTACGAAGTCTTAATCTTAATCTTAATACAAGGGGACATATATAATCCATCGAAGTACACACATGGCTTGATCGACTCCAAACTCGTAGTACTTTGAAGAAAACTACCAGTCTCCTGTCCTGCCTTCTTTCACCGTTGATCCAAAAGCAGAGGTAGACGTCTCACGGCCAACAGCCAAGCCAAGCAGATACTCTCGTACAACCAACGATAGCAATAGGGTTTATACAGCTGCTGTTACACAATAACGACACCTCGGTCGCAGTCTCACTCTCGCCTAGCTATCGTTTCTAACGACCGCAATGCAGATCCCACCTGCTACGTCCATATTATGTAAACTACATAATTGTCGTAGAGCATGACAGGGCATAAAATCTTCAACTATAACCCTCACCATCACCATCATCTGTCACTGACAGACAAGTCCAATCCTAAAGAGTCGCCAAAGGCCTGGTTTCACTCTTCTACCTGAGACTGAGGGTGGGACTGGACACGGCTCATAGCAATACTTCAGCCAGTGTGAGTGTCAGTGTCCACTGACAATAGAATTGAAGACATAAGGCATTGCATTGCGCAATTATAATATGATTCTCATATTATTTCCAGCAAACACAATCATGCTAAATGGTGCCAAGTTGCATGACAGGTTGATGACTAGCATATGGCTAACTGGATAATTATGGTAGGGTTGATTACTCTGCGGTGTTTCCGTGGTTCTGGTGTTTGAGATTTAGGTCTGAGATTACCCGTAGTATCATCGAGGTTCTGCCTTGCATTATGGACGGTGGTCTAGAATGTAATCATGTTTTCTAAGGATATGGTAGTGGCAGTTTGGATAGTCCTTTGTTAGCTATTGTTATTGGTGATACTCTACGGAGTACTGTAGATGATATGGTAGTGTCTGCTGTTGGTAGCAGCGTAGTAATAGTAGTGACTGGGTAAGAGCAACTAGCACCAAGGCATTCTGAATGCTGTAGAGAATCCAGAGTATCTCTGGTTCATAAGCTGAGTACAGCAATATGAATATGCCCAGCCGCGATGCCGCTAATGCATCTGCAAGATGCCCGAAGAGGGGATTTCAGTGCTGTGGACTGGTGCGCACGGGAAGTGCAATCCAGGCACTCATCTTATGGTTATTCTTATTGACACAGTATGTTTTACTGTATGGTATTCAACATAAGGTGAAGCTCTTATACAAGTTGTCAAAGATAGATCTCGATTGACGAACAGGGCAGGAGGGAGTAGAGACGGACACGGCTACTATCGACCTTCTACTACTGTGGCTTGTTCGCCCGATCTAGGCTCAACAAGGCGAGGAGGAAAGCTCCGGATCTGCGACAGTCACTTGACATGGCATCTCGACAGCAAATCCACGCAGAGTCGTATTTTCCTCATGAAAAATATACACGGTACCAAAAGGTGAAAGCCTAAGAAAAGGCAAAACTCATACGTACTTACACTTACATCTCCGTCCAGCGGATCTCTTCGGCAGCACGGAAAAGGGTCTAGGCGTCAACCCGCCCGGAAGCGGCACTGACTGGGACTGGATCGCATCGCTGCACTGGCAACTGGTAACAATCGATCAGCCGACGCAGCCATGGGTAGGAGGCGTCAAGGCCGATGACCAGCATGAAAAGTGACATATTTTCCCGGTATATTTCCAGAGATTGGGTGAAAAGTGTTGATGTCAATCGACTTCAGTTGCTTTGCGTGGTTAGGATCTGTACAGTACTTGACTGCTGACTTGTGCGAGGCAATCTCCTTGGATCGCAGTGGGAATACATCAAATCTCTTCATCCTTGAGACACTGATTAATTCGGTAGGAGGCAGGATACCTGGCGAGTCATGTTGGATGTCTACTGTATGGGCCACGTACTAAGGATTACAGTATAGTAGGTACCTGGATCAGGATTCCAGGAATGAGTCTATCAAGACTGTTGCCCTTTATGGCCTCTGTAGGACTGGAGTGACCCTCTGGCAAGCACTCTTCCAATGATTGAATCTGGGACCCTTTTCCGTCGGACATTGTGGTTATTTCAGATCTAACCCTTGGACTGTAGTACTGCATGGCTCATTTCTTTGTTTGTCTGCTTGTTCGAGACAGGTAGCGGGAGTTGAATTGAGTAATTGAGTCGAGATGTGTATGTGTACGTTTAGGGGACTATTCATGTTGATAAGGCGATGCTGATGCCGATCACTGAGATGAAGACTAGACCCAGATTCAAGCTGATATCTGATAGTTGTAATTTCCAACTCTGCCAACATTTCTGAATTCCCGGTCAGGTGAGTGGGGCTCGACTAATCTCTGGGAGGCGAAATGGTCCGTGTAAATGTAATTCATCCGATAGATATCCATCCATAATAACACGATACATAGATAGGATACATAGATAGTCTACCACGGAGTATCCGTACCGTAAATCCGTAATGGGTCCGTACTCCCGATCGGCAGCTATGGAGGCCTAGGCAGGTCGGAGGGCGCCTGGGCTGTGACTAAAGCTGGGGATACTTGCTTTTGCTGTCGATCTAGGATAGCTTGCTGACTTTGTGATCGAGAGAGCATGGCCGCCTGGGCAGGTTTTTGTTGAATGAATGAGGTTGAATTAAATAGGAATGTCGTACATTATCAGTGTAATCGTTTGTAAGGTAGTTGTTGTAATCCCATATTAAATGCCTATGCAAGTTATGCACACTTACTTGGGTCCTATGCAGGCAGATTAATTATTCCCAATTCTTTTTTATTTTCTTGCGTCCAAAGAATTTCAAGATTTTTCTCTTTTCTTTTCTTTTTTTTTTTACCTGCATGAGTGCTGACCAGGCCAGAACTGATTGTGACTGGGCCGAGCGGGCGTCCTCGTGTCATGGACTCCCCAATCAGGCCAAGCCCGCCTGGTCTAGAACGCTGGTGGAAAAGTCGCAGCCCGAGGGCCTTTCTGGCTCTCCCGCTGGCTGAGCGACCGAATCTAGTCTGGCCCTTCTGGACTTGTTGGTCGCTCATTATTTTCACGTCCCAGCGTCATTAAACTAAGGTACCTACCTCTCTACCTTACCAGGGCTACGCTACCTCTCCATACTTGGTGGATATCTAACAGTACCTTAGTTGTGTAGTATTCTCTTCCATTCATTTCTTCTTTTTCCTTCTACCTTATTATCCATTCGAATCTTGCATACCCAACTTTGAAACTTGTCATAACCTAACCATTTCAATATCAGCCCCATCATCTGGCGCCTTTCATGACCACAATTCCGGCTCCTGTCTAATCTCACCCATTCCCCACTGTGCTGTTTCCTCTTTCTAGGTGCCTACCTTCCTCCTCGTCCCTCCTCAACATATCTCCCGCACTCTTCCCATCCCTGTCACTTCTGTACGACCACTCTTCCTTTCAACCTTCTCTCACGCCCCATAGCCGCCTCTCGACCCTTTCATTGAAAGCTCTGCCAACGCATCCACCAGCTTGTCCGCTCATATAATCGCTGCTCGTCACTCGGACACATAGATTGACTCAAATCCACTCGTCTCGTCAAACTGTGAGAGTGAACAACGACGACGAGAGGACTATTTTCCCTGCCATTTGAGACACCAGATTGATCAACACAGCCTGAATGAATCAGACGCAGTGTCATGGACTGGTCTGGTCTACCACTGGGGTGCAAGATAGCTCGGTCATGCGTTCGCCATCATCTTCAACCTCACCTTCCAATGCTTCGTGGGAAGGCTGTTCTTCGCGTCAGAGGCTTTTGAACTCGTTCGACAACCAGGGAACAAATTCAGTCTCTCCAGTCGAACAATTCTCGACTTCTCGCCAGGGCGGAAACTCCAGCCGACTTAAGCGACGAGCTTCCCAAGGATCACTCGTCACCAAACCCTCGACCGTGTCCCGCTTCTTGAACAGAGGCAACGCATCGTTGAGCCTTCCTTCATTCGAGAAACTCGGCCTATCTTCGAAACCCTCCAGCCGAGTCGAGTCCCGTACAAATTCCGTTGAACCCCGCCTTCGCCTCTCTACAACTTCTGCGTCAAGCTCACAAGCAGCTCAAACGTCCCCGTCTACTCCGGCTGCGTGGAGCGCCTCGCCCAAGGACTATCCACAAAACGACTACCCCGCGACCCTTCCACCAACTCCTCCGGAGGACGACGAGCACGTGTTGTGGAATACCCGATCTAACATGTTGTTGTTCGATTCCCACTTGAATCGGAATCCCGGGCCGATGCCCATGGATGAAGGTCCGAATATGGGTAACTCATCGAGAGGAGCCGCTTCGGACGGTCTGGGGAGCCCGTCGGATCAATTGTCGAATGCCTCGCCTTCTAGTTCGGATGGGAGTCACAACTCCCCGGGAGGAGATATGGATTGCGATCACGATTCTTGGTTGGAGAATTCCATTGAATCGACTGGTAGGTTTTCACTCTAGCGGAATCCCCAATCTTCAGTACTAACTGATTGGTCATT